CGGAGCGCCGGCTCCTCCGGCCGCCCTCGGTGCTGCTGCCCGGCCGGAGCCGGAGCTGGTGCCAGAGGCAGTCACCTCCGCAAAGAAACTTCATTATTGTGTTTTGCTTTTTCTGCCGTCCACAATCTAGGTTTTGTTAGGAAAATGAGTGCTTTAAAGCAATTTCTTGTACCCTTCAAATTTTTTTGGTGTGTGTTTATCTACAAAACTTGTGACATGGGTTCACGCATTCCTGTTGTGATGAAGAGCATTGTTGGAATACTCCTAGAGTTCTGGGCATTATTTCCCTTGAAACTGGAGTTTTAGATAGGATGTTAGAAGGCGTTGCAGAATTGTAAATACTCTTTCTACCACTTGTTGCTGTTTGATGTTTGGTTTCCTGAGGAAAAATAGCGTGGAAGATCTATAAGGAAAGTGGTTCTGCACTTTTTTGGATACTTGCCAGATAAGTATACTTCAAATGCAAGTTATAGAGCAATAGAATGCCAAGTGTGTCCTCCACTGGTTCTGTGCAGTGCTTTGGGCCATTTGCTGATGTCCAGCTACATTGATAATTAGTAATCATTAGTAAGCGAGAAAAGCTGTGGCTGCAGATCCAAAGAATCTGGAAGTTCCTAATCTATTCAAGCCATTTGTTAGAATTGTTCTTTCAGTCTGACACATAGAGATCATTTGCAATATAACAATATGCAACCTCTCAGATTTCACAGAGTTGGACCAGCTGCTCTCTCTCCACTGCTCTTGGTGGACTCATGTGCTGATCACTGGCGATCTCGGGGCTGAAGAACACTCCAGCTTGGAAAAAACTTGTGTAGAGCCATTCACAAATGATAGCATGGCTTCAAAACTAGACAAATAGTGAAGGCCCAGATTTTTGTCTGTTCTTTTAAATTTTACACTGAGAAGTCACAAGTATTTAAAAACAAAACAAAAACACACACCCCATAAAAGAATAAAAAAAACCCAACCCCAAGTCCATGACAGTTCCAGTATTTACCTTTCCTTTAAATGACGTTTAATCCTGTGCTTTCTGGATCTAGAAAGAATAGTTCTCTATCCCTTTGCTTTCTTAGGCTGAGTATCAGTGCTTATGTAGGTGTGTCACCTAAATGACCAATCATGAAGAAAATTATTCCTTAGAAAGACTTAATACTTGGACAGTTTGTCTACATTTCCCAGCAGAGGCAGACACAGGATAGAGGCTGATGAACTACTCAGGGATTCTTCATTGCAGTGGCTGCCTTTATAGCAGGGGCTCTCATAAATCACTGAGCTGAGCCTGCCCTTCTGAGCCCAGAATCACCTGCAGGTGCAAGTGTTGGAAATGTTGTATCTAAGTGGTTGTTACTATTTCACACTTCAGGCTTGAACAGCCAAGAAACCTGGAACCCCAGATTCTCTTTCCTGTGGGAAGACAGACACCAAAAGCCAAAACCAAACCAAAATGAAACATCAAAGGTCACTGGTATTAGGGCTGAGCACCAACATGTCCCCAGCCAGGCTTTGAACCTTGGCTTGTTGCCAGCCTTTTGTGTCAGCACCAACATGTCCCCAGCCAGGCTTTGAACCTTGGCTTGTTGCCAGCCTTTTGTGTCAGCTCTGCCAGCCTGGACCCTGCATTTTGTCTTTGCGTGGAATAGGGATGATATTACTGTCTTTCCTGGCAGATAGCTGTAAGCACTCTGAATCCCATTTTTAAGCCTTCTTGGGTAAAAAAGATGTGGCTGGGAGCTTACCCACCATGGGAGGAACCCCCAGGAGGAGGAAGTCTGACAGTCTGGTTTGTGTGTACATGGGGATGTTGCTCACTTTGCCATCGTTCCTGCTGAATGCCCTATTCCCACAGTCACTCCTGCTCTTACTCACTGACAGTTTCTGGAGTTTTGCTGCCAGCTGATTCCCAGAGACTTGCCAGTATGTTGCCAAAAATGTCAGGATGAATGAAACTCTCTAACACTGTTCTTGTAGTATTAGGGAGCAGGCATTAATTTATTCCAGGCCAGGGTGCTCCACCTAAATGCACACGACTTTCAAAACTTTTCACTTATTTATACATTTTTAGCAAAGAAGTTAATGTTCATTGGTTCTAAATTACATAACTTTTTGCATCAATTACTATTCTATCTTCTATTGGTTATTGATTTCTCACTTCTCATGCTAATTAGTCCACATATTTTAAGTTTTTTATTATCTTTTTCCCAGACAAAAAGACTCCAGAACATATTGAATTATCTTTGTTAGTCTCTTCTTTATCTTCTGGTTACTTCAATATGTCCTTGGAGGCCTATAAATTCTGG